GCTTAGTACGTATTGCAGTTCATTTAAAAATCATTCTCTCCATGTCTAACAAGTTATTAGAAAATGCAAATGTATGCAAACCTTACATTAAAAAAACTTGAAAATTGCCAGATTAATTTTATAGGTTTACAAGTCTACAGGAGAAGCAATGGAAGTCTTTACAGGTAGCACACTGTGCTTATCACATTACACTTGATTTCTAAATGCTGGTAAGTACTGGCTTCTACATTTTAATTTTTTTTTTAATTTAACAAACACAGATAATTATTAGTACCAAGTCATGAGTATTGGGATATGACCCTCATTCTGTTGCTAAGTTTGTTTAGAAAGCCATTTGAGCAAACTGAGAAATCACTGTATCTCCATGGAAATGAATTCAACAGTCATTGTTACACAAACAACAAAAATATGAAAGCAAGCTCATGTATATGGAGAAGTTCTCGTAAAACCATCCATACATGTAGATCCATGTTCAAACTGAAGGCCTAGGTGTTCTAACATTTCCTTGCCTGGATTTGCTCCTTTCAAATGTACTTCATTTCCACTTTTGAAACAAAAAGTAGATAGAACAGAGGGTCAAGATTTCCTTCAGGGTGTGATAAACTACCACCAACATCTGTCCACTCCATTCTTTCTGTTCTGTCCTTTCTGCACCCTGTTTTCTTCCCTCTTCTTTAACCCCACACTAAAAGGCATGCTGAAAGGGTCAAGGCCCTGGCTGAGGGATCAAGGGCGTGGTACCTGTCTAGGCTAGAACACCGTTTACCTCTTCCTTACCTCTGATCTCCTCCTCAGATCCTACATGTTTTAAGTCCCACACCTGTTGGGGGACTCCTGCCTCACTGTGGTCTTGGGACACATCTCCATGTGTTCTAGAGGTCCTATCCTTGTCCCTGGAGAGCGGGTTCAGTGATCACAACAGGAGGCCTATTCGGAGACTCTCTTGGGGTTTCAGCTGTGCAAAAGCAGCTTCCAAACACAACAGCCTCCTTGCCTTCTGTAGCGTGAGGTTGGCACCGAGCTCTGGCTCAAGATCTGCACAGCTCAGGCCATGAAGGCTGGAGAACTCCGAGTTGAGGTGATGGGTGGGTGGGATTTGGTTTTTACCAACACTTCAGTCAGGAGCCTCTGGTTCTTTTCACTTGAGATGTGTATGGTTTTTCCACTGAGAGCGGGAACGGACACCAGCATCTCTATTAAAGTTCATGGTCCATAGAAGACTTGTGTGACAGAGCTCCCAAAGTAGGTCATCCCAGGCACCATGCTGGGGGGGGGTGTTTAAATGGGTGCTATGTGGATAAAATTTATTTCAATAATTAAAACTAGAATGAGCCAAAAAAAGTACATTAAGCCCATGTTTTACAGATACTATTACCATTAATTACCATAAGAAGTTTTATTAAAAAGATGCATTAACATCAGTTTAAAAACTAGACAAAAGTATCAGCTAGGAGCAGCAATTCTTTTTTTTTGTTTTTCCTTTAAGTCCTTTATTAGCATGTACTAATATACTATTTCTTGGGGTAGAGGTGTTGAATTTTTCAGTTCAGTTATGCTCTTTCGTAACACTTTGGACTTCGTAGGCTATATGCTATGACAGTTGTAACAGAAACTATTGGTCCCAGCAGAGATGTCTGAAAATACTCAACTTAGTTTTGTCATTACAACAACAACAACAAAAAAGGATAATAGAAAATGATTGGTGCTATATGCCCATTTATACAAATGATATAACATAAAACCTAGTGTTTTAATAAATGTTAATGATGTAAGTGTCTGAGCACTAATCTCACGAATCTTACTGTGAATTTTCTTTTTTTTTAAAATTTAGTCAATATTATTCCCTATTTTTTTATTGTTCAAAACATTACAAAGCTCATGACATATCATCTTTCATACATTTGATTCAAGTGAATTATGAACTCTCATTTT